TTGTCCATTTCCGCACTTTCCATGGTCTTCGTTATTAGGTCTTGTTTAGAGGGTTTTGTTGGAAGTTTCCAAAAAGTTGCAAATAAAATTCTAGCTATTGTTACTACATGAATTATAAAATATCTTTGATTTTTGTCAAAATCATCTGGTATACAATTCAATAAAAACAATTATGGTCAAAAAGGTATTGAAGTCTGCAGAACTGTCTGTATAAATGTATGCACCATAACCCAGAACTTACATACAATTTTGCATGTCCACCCCATATGGTAAAACGTACCTACATGTTTTTTACACTTCCAGCAACTATTAGACATAGTTCAATTTTGATGCTTTGTGAACAAAGAGGGATAATTGCTGTTCTGCTGAGGCAGACATACATTTGCAGTAAAACAAACAGTGATCAAAACCAGTCCTGAAATTCAACGTAATAATAGAGGAGGTTTTATATAAAGGAGTACAAAACATAGTTGCATAACACTTATCTCCAATCTGTTACATACCATCTGATTAGATTAAGCAATCAGAACACTTTGGTGGGATTCCAGATGAAGAAAATCTTTTGCCGGCAGCTGGCAAAAAGGAAATTTATGCAGCAACAGAGTATATGTGTCTCTGTTATGCCTGAATAAACCCAAAGAATTAATGCCAAAGAATTAATTGTACTTTAAGAATCTCTGGAAAGAACATTTGTGATTTCTAAAGCCTTTCATGCCAGAGGTTTAAGTATCTCCCTTATATATAAAAGCCGAATGGTGGTGGCACTTCTCTAGAACATTCCACACGCTCCGGAATTGGTTGGCGTCCTGGTGTGTCACTCAGAATCTGTCCCTATCCACTGGCTGCATTGCTTGAGTCTCGCCTCCAACATTCTAAACAGTTTGCTGTTCCTCTCCCCCCCCCCAATAGCCAGTCAGAGCACAGAGGTTATTTGCATATGCAGCCTCATTGGCCTTTGCCTCAGAACACAGAGGTCATTTGCATATGCAACTTGATTGGCTTTTGCCTCTAACATCCTAAACAGTTTGCTGTACTGAGGTAATGTGTCCAATCTCCAGGTGAGGGCTGGAGATCACTCAGAATTACAACTGCTTTCCAGATGGCAGAGATCAGTTCCCCTGGAGAAAATGGTGGGCTCTGTATCCTTATATGCTGCTGAGGTGGCCCCCGTATGACAGCCAATGTGACGTAGCAGTTAGGGCTTCAGAGCACGGGAGAGGCTGCAGGTGTGTGTGGGGTGGAAAGCTGAAGAGTGAGGGGGGAATAAAGGTAGGTTGATGATTGGCTGGTAAGGAGATAGGGTTGCCAACTCCAGGTGGGAAATTCCTGGAGATGTGAGGGATGGAGCCTGGAGAGGGTGAGGTTTCAGGAGGCGTGGGACCTCGGACAGGTACAAAGCCATAGACTCCACCCTCCAAACCAACTATTCCCTTCTGGGGAACCATCGTTGCCAATCTCCAGGTGAGGGCTGGAGATCACTCAAAATTACAACTGTTCTTTAGGTAGCAGAGATCAGTTCCTCTGGAGAAAATGGTGGACTCAGTGTCATTATACCCTGCTGAGGTCGCCACAGCAAATTGACACTGAGTGTCCAAGGCCAGGGCACCTGCCCAGAGCCTCTTTATAGAGAACGTTGTATTTATTTCCACAACGGGTCTTTTTCCTAGTCTAACAATAGTGATGATGATATGTAATATACCATCACAAATGTGCATGTGCTTTGTAACATAAGCAAGGAAGCTTAGAGTAAGTGTTGATGTCCAGGCAAGTCCTTTTATTTTGCTAGAAGTATATGGATAAATGTGGGGCTTCAGTTACACATTCAGCTGTACATACTTAACATGAGAATTACTCAGCCCATGTGTAAAGATGTTCTGACGCCATCGACGAAATCACTCCCCAGTGCCCTCTCTGCCATCATACCAAGCTACCTCCATGATATACCCTGGAGCTATGGAGGATGAAACGAGAGCTGAGACGACTAGAGCGAGTGTGGTGGTGTGCTTGTGATGAAGCTTCAAGAACATATGATAGAACGTCTATAAAAGCTTATGAGGTGGCACTAAAGGCTGCTAAGAAAACATTCTACGTGACCTCCATTGTGTCTGCTAGCTCTCGCTCGGCCCAATTGTTTTGAACAATTAAATTCTTAACTTCTTTGCCTGAAGGCAAACCAAACGAAAAGGCTGTGAGGCATTCGCGGGCTTCTTTGCAGATAAAGTCTTGTCACTCCACCAGGACCTCCTGGCCACAATTGATACAATGGAAGCCCCTTGTTCATCTTCAGGTCCAGTTTTGGACCCAGAAAGAAGTTGACAAGATCCTGGCAGCTGTGAAGCCCACCACTTGCCTCTTTCATCCGTGCCCTTCCTGGCTGGTCAAGGTCTGCCAGGAGAGTGTGCGAACTATCATCAAGGAGATACCATCAACCTACCCCTATCATTAGGGACATTCCCAGCTGGCTTAAAAGAGGCAGTGGAGGGTCTTCTCTTGAGGAAGCCATCATTGGACCCTATGGTCCTTGCCAACTATTGCCTGCTTTTGAACTTAACGTTCCTGGGCAAGGTGGTCGAGAGAGCGGTGGCGGAGCAACTCTAGGTTTTCTTGGATGCTACTGCTATTCTAGACCCATTCCAGTCCGGCTTTTGCCCTGGCCACGGGATGGAGACTATACTAGCTGCCCTCACAGATGGCCTCCGGAGACATCTGGATCGAGGCAGGTTGGCACTACTGTTGCTTCTTGATTTAACAGCGACGTTCGACACGGTCATTTATGATCTTCTAACCCACCACCTTGCCGACGTTGGGATACGGGGAACTGCCTTGCAGTGGCTCTCCTCCTTCCTTTATGGCTGTGGAGAGAGTGTGGTGCTCGGGGAGGAGTTGTCCCAGCGACATCCACTCGAATGTGGTGTGCAGCAGGGTGCAATCCTCTGCCCGATGTTGTTTAACATCTATATGCATCCCCTTGCCCAGCAGGTCCAGGGGTATGGGCTTGGCTGTCATCAGTATGCTGATGATACCCAGCACTATCTGTTGATGGATGGCCAGCTGGACTCCGCCCCAGACGTATTGGCCAGGGCACTACAGGCTGTGGCAGGATGACTTAAACAGAGCCAACTGAAACTAAAGCCAATGAAAACATAGGCCCTGTGCCTGAGTTGTGGGGATTTGGGACTGGGAATCCTGCTCCCAACCCTCGACAGGATGCCTTTGGTCCTGGCGCTGAGGGTGAAGACTCTAGGGGTTATCTTGGATTCCTATGGTGGCCCAGGTTGCCACCATTGCTAGATCAGCTTTTTATCATCTTTGGCTGGTCATGCAACTGGGTTCCCTATCTCACTTCCTAGGGCCTGGCTAGAATGATCCATGCAGTGTTCACTTCTTGGTTAGATTATAGTAACTCACTCTACGTAGGGCTGCCCGTTAACTTGACACGGAAACTGCAGCTGGTGCAGAATGCGGCGGCACACATGCTGATGGTGACGCCTGTGCGGGCACGCATTCAGCTGGTGCTCCACCAACTCCACTGGCTGCCTATAAAGTACTGGTTCTAGTGCTGACTTTTAAAGTCCTATGATTCCAGGGACCTGCGTATCTCCAGGACTGTCGGTCCCCATATGTGCCCCACAGACCTTTGTGCTTAACTAATCAACATCTTCTGATTGTTGCCTGAAGGATGTCCAGCTAGCCTCAACTAGTGCCAGGGCCTTTTTAGCCCTGGCCCCAGCCTGGTGGAACAAGCTCCCAACTGAGATCAGGGCCCTGTGGGATTTGTTACAATTGCACAGGGCCTGTAAAACGGAGCTGTTCCATTGGGCTTTCAGTTGAGGCAGTGGGCATCCAGTTTTCTGTTCCTGGCCTCCCCTGATGATAGCCCTGGCCTTTTGGTTAGCAGCTTGATAGCCAACAACACCATGCAGAAGGTTCCATCTGAGCATCACTACCAAGACATATTTTCACTGTTGTGTTTTTTTCTGGTGCTAAATTTTAAATTTTTAACTCTCTAAAAATGTAATATATTATCTGAACTTGATCTGTCGTCTATTAATGATGATGTTTTATGTGACCTGTGACCCACCCTGAGCCCGCTTGTGGAGAGGGCAGGATAGAAATCAAAGAAAATAGATAAATAAAAATCAAGTGTACAGCTGTACATAGGTTGTACATGTGTTAAGTATAACTTGCAAAGAAGGCTGACATATCAATGAGCATGTTGGGGATCAATGGTCTAATGCTTCTAGAAATGGGTTCATACCTTAGCCTAAAGTGGACCATGTCAGTGGTCCTGCTATTTTTTTCTTATTTTCTGAGGTTTCTTTTTAAAGAGAAAAGAATGGAGACAGAAATGTGTGACGGTGCGGGTTTCCTTTTATCTCGAATAATTGTGCAACGGCAATAGTAGTAGTAGTAGCAGCACCAGTGGTAGTTTAAGAAAAGGCATATTTTATTCCACCATGTGTGATGAGCAATCCCTGCCCCAAATCCTTCTGTTCAATAGAAAGGAGCTTTCCCTCTTTTGTATCTGATAACCTTGCAGACAGGAGAAGGAAAATAACCATATATGGCTATTTTTTTAAAAAAAAATTAAATTGCGTATTGAATTCTGATGAAATGCAGATCCTGGTTCTGATCAAAAACGTTGGTCTTATTTGCTTACCCAAACTGCTTTTCGTGAAGGAAACTAGAGCTTGGGGGTTCCCTAATGAGGAATATTTTGTGTTGTGAAAAACCAGTCTGGTGCAGGGTTGAGCTTGGGTACTGGGGACACAATTTCACATCTCAGTTCAGCTTGCTGGATGTCATTGGGCAAGTTACTACCTTAGGTCTGACCTGTTTTGCGGGCTTGCTGGTAAGCTGGAATTCTGCCCTGAATACCTCTGAATGTCAATGCCACAAAAAGTGGACTGCCTTTCTTCTGTAAATTATTCAGTAGCAAAAAAAATTATCTCTGCCCTTTGTCAAGGCTTATTTATAATGTTTCTTTTGTCTTTCTGCAGCCTGCCACCTTTCACTACAAAGAGGAGATTATGTCAGTAAATTCTACCTGCCTAATTGTGATTATTCTTCTTTTTATAAGTATCATTTTAGCTTTCAAGGTAAGTGTGCACCCATTAAAAATCTACCATTATCAATTCAGAATGTTGTTTGAATGCTTTCATTCATCCCCTGTGTGTGTAGCAGTGATCAGTCCTGTAGCTACAGGGGGGATTTGGGGAGACAATACCTGAATTTCAATGCCTGAAATATGTCAGGCATTGAAATATTACAGTGCCTGAAATATGTCATGCCCAACCTCTGAATTCCCAGCTTTCATTTTTAAATGAGTACTTTTCTAGCCCTTTTTGTTGCAGAGATACAAGAGGAAATATGCATGCTTTTATCCTGTATTGCCTGGGAAGAAAAGTGGCTGGAGCTGTGTCAGTTATCCCTTACTGATCCTCATCTGCTCAGTCCCCTGGGCCCTTTGCTTTTTCCTTGCTTGTTTCTCTCCTCTTTAATGTTCACAGTGACAAGTAAGAATGCTGGGCAAAGAACTGGAGGAAGATTTATACTATTTTGAGATACTATTTTGGGGTCAAATCCTCTATTTGCAGTGGGAAATTTAGAGGAGGAGAAAACTGAACACCCAGTTTCACTCAGTCTGGTATCTGATTTTAGTCATTTGCTGCAAGCCATATTTATTACAACTTGCCTATGTGAAGGAATATGCATCTCTGAGTATGTGCAGAATGCCTTTTACTCACCAGTGAAGAACCATAGACAGCTCCTGCCTCCTCCCTATCAGAAAAAAAATCTGGAAGTAGTGCTAAAGGATGGAAACTGCCCAGGCAGGTTTAAACTCCATAACCTTTCACAGCAGAAAAAGGCCAAAGAGCTGAGGGCATAATATCCCCACAGTCTTAAGCCACGTCACTTCCCTCTACAGAAAAAAAGTCGGTATTTGTGGTCTAAGTAAATCTATGCCAAGAATGATCAATTCTCTGAATGCTGAGACTGCAAGCACTCTGCACATGTGTGGAATGCTTTTTCCTCACTGCACAGTAACCACACACATTTATCTACCTCATATCAGGGGGTATGTTGTAAGAAGTGATTTGCAGCCAGGCTTGGCAATAAAGGCAGGGATCCGAAGGACACTCACCTGGAAGTACGCCCCATTGAATAACATGGGACGTAGTTCTTAGTAGCTTTCCCAGCAGTTTTGAATCCTTCCTCATAGTCTTTAGGCCCTGTAACATCTCTCTCAAGAGAAACATCTCCCTCAAGAGAAATGTAGGTACGCTGAATCAGCAAGGGACTCCCTAGTATGATCATTCAGTACACATGCAGCCCCATCTGTGAGGGAAATAGGGCCAGATTGTTACGGGAGGGTGGGGAGAATGAAGCCCCTTCTCCCCCAAGACTGCAGTCTGGATCGAATTGAGACTGCCGAATGCTTGGGAAATGAGATCCATCACACCTGACATCTGAGTGTGTCAGTCAAAATCTGGTCCGGGGAATTCAGACATTACGAAGCGCCTCATTACGCTTGTGAAATGCACTGTGCAGCTCTTTGGATTCATGATGCTGCTCCTTTAAGCAAAGCATTAAGGGTGGAAGTCTGGCTCAAGAGCATGTTCTGCTGTTGAAAGAGGATAGATTATCGTCTCCCTACAGTGAGCATGAAATGGAAGAGAGGGTTGGCCCCGTGCAGAAAGATACTTTTCTCTGATGAGCTGCTGTCTTTGGCTGATTCAGCACTGGCTTTTCCCTCCCTTGTTTTATCAAACCCATGTTGGAATGGAAAAGGTGCAGCTCAAAACCACATTCAAATGCCATACTTACTGCAAAGTCACCCCTGAATGGCCATAAATCTGTGCAGAAGGTACCATAAAACCCAACGATCCAAGAAAGTGAAAGCGGCATGCAGTGTAGAGGGTACCATAAAATCTGATGATCAAAGAAAGTGACAGCAGCATGCAATGCAGTGGGGAATTTCTGTTCCGAGGTGGGTTTGCTATAACAATGGAGGGAAAAGTCAATGCAGAATTGCCCAGTGTCTCCCACAGAAGAGGTCAGCCAGGAACGTGAGAAGCTTCTCCTTCTGTGCCCCATGTACACTTGGGGCGATTCTGCATTGGCTTTTCCCTGTGTTGTTTTACAAAACCTATGTTGGAACAGAAATTCCCCTCTGCATTGCATGCTGCTGTCACTTTCTTTGATCATCGGATTTTATGGTACCCTCTACACTGAATGTCACTTTCACTTTCTCTGATAATCATGTTTCTGCATAGATTTATGACTGTTCAGGGGTGACTTCACAGTCAGTACGACATTACCCCAAGGTATTTTAATGCGGTTTTGAGCTGCACCTTTTCCTCCCAGTTGAGAAAATGTGGAGCGAATGCTAGATGCAGAATTGCCCTTGCTTTAGCAGCTCGCTTGGTATATGCGCAGTTGCTCTGTCAGTCCTCCAGAATGAAGCACTGAGTTGTGCTCTACACTGGCTAAACTTGTGGGGTTGGATTTTAGTCCCATTTATTTCAAGAGAACTGAGCTAGCTTAAATGATAGTTTTATGTCTCAATTTGTTTTCTATTCAGGCCAAAAACTGGTTGAGATTATTTCATTTAAAGGTTTCATCTGTGTGTTTTGGATAACGCAAATCCCAGGCTAGGGGTTTTTTTTGTGGGGGGTATCAGTGGTAGACTAGTATAATGTGTCTGCATTAGTCTTAGGTATCTGAAGAAGTGAGCAGTGACTCACAGAAGCTCATACCCTGCCACAGATTTTGTTAGTTTTTAAGGTGCTACTGGACTCTTGCTCTTTTCTGCTGCAGTAGTCTTGTGCATCTCTCTTCTTCTTCTTTTTAAATCCCCGTAGGGATATTTTTTATTTTGCATATACTACAAACTACAAAGAAATATAGGGGAGGGACTACAACGGGATAAAGAAAAGCAAACCACACTAGACTAAAACCCAAGAGAAGGAGATCTTTTCACTGTTAGTAAATATGTTAGTACCATTAGTTTTATTATCACAATATACTTGTTGAGTTCTTGCTTATAACAATTCGCTTTTTGTATGTTATTTTGTTAGTTGTTATGAGAGAAGTCTCTGATCATCTTCTTATTCTTTGCTTCAAAAGGCCATTTTCCAAGTCCTTCTGCCTTTACTTCGGCTTTCTGTCTCTAAAATCGTATACCACTCTGCACCCTTTTCTGCTGCAGAATCCTCTTCCATTCCCAAGGTAGCAGAGTCACTCGACTTCGATTCTCCCTCTTTAGACTCATCATCTGTCTCCAGCTGACATTTCAAAAATTCTTTAGCTTTAAAAGTGGAGTCTATCTTCTCCCTTCTATCGTTGATCTTAAAGATGACACCTTCCGGAACCGCCCATCTGTACGATATTCCATTAGTTTGAAGAAATGAAATTAATTCCTTGTGATTTTTCCTCTTTTGTCTAATTTCAAATGGAATGTCCTTTAAAGTTTTAATGGTTACATTTCCCATTTACAGTGGAGTTGCTGAAGTTGCTTTTAAAATGGCATCTCTGGTTTGTCTTCTTGAAAACTTGACCACTATTTCTCCAGGTAGGCTATTTTTTTAATATAGTTGGAGTAAGCCCTATAGGCTGTCTCCGTTTTCCCTACAAAGAGGAGATTATGTCAGTAAATTCTACCTGCCTAATTGTGATTATTCTTCTTTTTATAAGTATCATTTTAGCTTTCAAGGTAAGTGTGCACCCATTAAAAATCTACCATTATCAATTCAGAATGTTGTTTGAATGCTTTCATTCATCCCCTGTGTGTGTAGCAGTGATCAGTCCTGTAGCTACAGGGGGGATTTGGGGAGACAATGCCTGAATTTCAATGCCTGAAATATGTCATGCCCAACCTCTGAATTCCCAGCTTTCATTTTTAAATGAGTACTTTTCTAGCCCTTTTTGTTGCAGAGATACAAGAGGAAATATGCATGCTTTTATCCTGTATTGCCTGGGAAGAAAAGTGGCTGGAGCTGTGTCAGTTATCCCTTACTGATCCTCATCTGCTCAGTCCCCTGGGCCCTTTGCTTTTTCCTTGCTTGTTTCTCTCCTCTTTAATGTTCACAGTGACAAGTAAGAATGCTGGGCAAAGAACTGGAGGAAGATTTATACTATTTTGAGATACTATTTTGGGGTCAAATCCTCTATTTGCAGTGGGAAATTTAGAGGAGGAGAAAACTGAACACCCAGTTTCACTCAGTCTGGTATCTGATTTTAGTCATTTGCTGCAAGCCATATTTATTACAACTTGCCTATGTGAAGGAATATGCATCTCTGAGTATGTGCAGAATGCTCCTCCAGGCCGCTGGTGTGCGATTCACCCTCCTCCGTTGTGAGGAGAGCGTCCGCCATCGCTGTTCACATTTGTTATGTGAACAGTACAAGATCATAAGTCCAGACAGCTGCTTAGTCTTTGATATGAATTCCTACAGAAAAGATCCACTTGGCAGATTTCTGGAATGAAGGCATAGCTTAAGTTCACTGGATCATTTATCATTGATATGGTAGATAGCACCGCACCACATGTCAAAATGAAGGGCCTAACTAGACGCTACCTTTTTTTAATGAGTTGGCCCAGGGTTGCCCCAAACTGACTTATTCCCCTCAGTCAGGTGGCAACGGCTGGGAATTAATTTCCCAAGTACCACAGGGACCCAGTTAAGATCCAGGAGAGAAAGGGCTTTAGCTTTAGCCTTCTTTTTCCGCCATTTTCCTGAACCAAAACAGCCTTGAGGGGAGAAAATTTAATAAAAATAGTAAATACACCCCTCAGAGCTGTTGTTTCAGGTTGAGAAATTGGCATGGGGGAGGGCTGAAGCCACTTGTCCCACCTCCCCCCACCCCGTACCATAGCCATGATGCAAATTATGCCCCAGCAGCACTTGCAAAATTAGTTCTGACTACCTTCCAAAAAGCCACTCGTGAACAGAGCAGAATGTAGCAAGAGGGAATCAGCAGCAACACTCCATCTACCCTTGTGCGAGCCTTCACCCAAGAGGGGGAGATGATTTTTTCCATTTCCCACTTCCTACAGCAGGCCACTGTGTACCATTTCCCTTTTTCCTGAGGGACC